AGAAACTTTAGTGTTTCATTCTGTAACTTAAGTCACAGAACAGAAATGGGGTAGGGTTTGCTGTACAGGGAATAAAGCTTAAGGTGAAGTCAAAGGTCATTGGTGGCTTTTGGCCCCACCTATGTTGCCTGGATTATTTCCCATAAACAGAAAGTGGTCAGGGGCTCAGGAATTTTAGATTCATAATTGTTTGTGTGTATGACAATTCACTACATCTATTCATTTTCTTTCCATTGCCCAACCGAGGGCAAAATAGGGTTGACTTTTACAAGTGTAAGGAATTAATCAAGCCATGATTGGCTTGGCGTATTTGGCCAAGCCAGTCAAGAGATTCCCAGGCAATGGTGCAATTAAGGATTTTTTTTTTTTCCCCCAGGGTCCCTGGACCTACCTGAGCTTCAACATGAAGCCTTTGTATCATCTTACCAGCCAGAGTTCCTGACACACGAACCCTTGGTGGACACTGACCTACAGGACCTAAAGTCTCCATCACAGTGTAGCCCAATGCAGTCTTCAGACTGAAGAGGGGGAGAGCCTACCTCCTCAGCATGTTTTTGACCTAAACTAAAACTTAATCTATGTGGAAGAAGACAGCAGTCGAGAAGGAGAGACAATATTAACACATTTCATCACGGACGTTCCTGTGCTGACAGTGTATCCTGGAATAAACTTCAGTTGTTTTATTTTTAGTAATAAATATCTGACAGTTCTGCTTAGTTTTAATCTTCTTGTAATCAGGATATGATCATGTTTGCTTAGCTCTTCCTGAAGTGAACCTTCATGAATACACTTCATCTGTTTGGGCTGTTAAAATGTCATATACTAGATAGCTTATAAACAACAAGTTTATTTCTCATTTTGGGAGCCTGGGAGTTCAAGATGCCTGGTGAGAGCTTGGTTCTTAGCTGCCTTGCTATGACTACATGTGGAAGGAAGTCACCAGGTCCCTTTTATAGGGGACTAGTTCTATGCAGAGCCATTTTGACCTACTCTCCTCCTTAAGGCTATAACTGTAACATCACTGAGGGATTCGGTTTAACAAAGTGAGTTCATGGCAGCTGCTCATTCATGAAGTAAAGAGTCTAACAACTCACTACACTAAATTCTAATCAGGAATATTGAGTCACCAGCCCCTATAACCCAGGCCCCAGCTTTATTTTCTTGTCAGTATCAGTAGGACAAGTTCTCTGCTTATTTTCAAAATAGGAACTCATATATCTGTTCATCTTTTTTGTCAAATTTTGCACTCCTTTTGAGGGGATAAAGTCCTCTAACTCAATTCCTTATTAAAGAATTCACTTGTACACAATGTTAACACAAATTCAGAAAAGACAGAGTTGAGGATTAGTTCCCTTCCTCCATACAAACTCATTGTCATTTCATTTTGAACATATTCTATGCAATTGGACTTTGTAGGTCCTACATACACCATTAAAGGTGGTGGAAGGGGGGCTTGTCTGTGCCACCTACTGCATCAGTGTACCACATTACGGGCCCAAGTTCATAGTTCCTTATCTCCCAGGCTTGAAGAGGAGAGAACACAAGTAATGCCCTGGTCTTGTTTTTGTCAAGTTCCTACAGCATGCTCCTTTTACCATACAAAATACCAGCACATTGGATTACAACCTGAGTAAAGGCAACATGAACATTTCATTTTTTAAGCCAAGCATGGTGGCACACACCTTTACTCCCAAAAAGGAAAGGCAGGCAGATTTGTGGGTTCAAAGCCAGACAAGACTACAAGTGAGATCCTGACTCCAAAGAAATTTTTTACAACAAGGTGGATTAACATAAGTTCACAACTTTTGAACTACAAACCTTAATCCACCAACTGCATAAATTTAATAAGTTGTTGGGTATAGTGGCCCATGCCACTATATTCAGAGGTAGGGGGTCGGCAGATCTCTTGAGTTCCAGGACAGCCAAAGCTACATAGTGAGACCCTATCTCAAAAAGAAAAAAAACAAAAATTTTGAAAGACAACATCTACATCTTTTCAAAGTAAAATTATTTGAACAAATTCACATCCCACTAAAATATATCAGATATGGACAGGTTAGTTTCAACTACAGTGTGTATATGTATTTACATATACATATGTAAATCATGTAATATATTTATATACATACACACACACACACACACACATATTCATATGAAATACAATACAAGCCAGGCCAATGTCAGCACAGTAGTGTTTCTCCTTGAGTGATAATTCAGGGCTGGTTTTTATTGACACTCTCCTTTAACCCAATTTTCTAGTCAGTGATTAATCTTCAAACAGTTAAAAATTATTTCCATTTGGGGAAATACACAATCCCCACACAATGTTTTGAACTTTTCAAACACTAAAAATCTGATTCATCCATGGCTTCATTTCTGCATGCATTATCTGAAGCAAAATTTGCACTGTTATGTACCAATTATTGGTGTTAAAGGACATTGGGTTGGGGTTTGTGGGGTTCTAGCAGCCTCCACATTAGAACAACATGGGCATGTGTGCCAGTGATGAACCAGCCTAACTTCAAGTATGAAAGTCACTTTGTTATAAGGTCAGAGTAAGTTCATTTCTGTTTGCTGCAATTCAAGCTTGGCCGTGCTTTAGCCTGTTTCTGGAGTTTGACTCACACCTTGAATATACTCTGATAAGGTGTTCTGCCAAATAATTTTTGAAATGCTCAGCCAAATTTCCTCTGGAAATCCCCCAATCCTTGAAAAACCACCAGTCTTGCTGATTTGGGGGGCTATATAATAAGCCCTTCCATCTCCGGCGTTCAATGCTATTTTCTCAAACCCCAATTTATGGAGACAGCTCTGTATGACAGAAAATAAAGCTTGCATAATTGAACCAAAGAATTTGGGTGGTGGTCCTTACTCTCATTTGGTGGGATTACCACCAGGGTTTGGCAGAGGGATAGGCAGATAGATTTCACTTTTTTTCTTGGGAATTGATGGTTACTGGGCTTTTGTTCTCATATGGCCAGATACAGAGATCAAAGTGTGGGCATTAGGAGTTAAATGCAGGCTAGAAATCCACACAAGTCAAGGGCCCTTGCAGAATAGTTTGGGGGGTTTTTTGTTTTTGTTTTTAACCAAATAAACTCCTGACACAACATCTTTCTTACTGCTTCTAATGGCACAAGAGCCCCACAGTGATGAGAAATGCTCCACTGCTTCAGTTCCCACGTCTCACATCAAAGAACAAAAAAGCTGTGTACAGGTGACACTTGTACTCCTTTCCCATGCTTCAAGGCACTTTGTAAGTCTCTAACAATTTGACTGTATATATATAAACACATCATTAATTACAATATTTTTATTTCTGGTATCTTTATGGGGATGTTCAAGACAGTGTTTCTCTATATAATTCTGACTGTCCTGGAACTCACTCTGTAGACTAACTGGCCTTGAACTCAAAGATCTGCCTGTCTCTGCCTCTTAAGTGCTGGAATTAAAGGTGTGGGCATCATACTTTTATTTCCTATTTCTTTCCTTTTTTTTTTTTTTTGGTGTGGGTGTGGGCATCATACTTTTATTTCCTATTTCTTTCCTTTTTTTTTTTTTGGTGTGTTTTTTTTTGAATTATTTTATTTGAATTAGAAACAAGATTGTTTTACATGACAATCCCAGTTCCCTCTCCCTCCCCTCCTCCTCTACCACCCCTCCCCTAACTAAATATTTCCTATTTCTAATTTTCAGAGCTGCCAGCTGTCTGTCATCAAATGGTGAATTGCATCATACCTTTGCCTTGCCTGTATTTGTTCTGTAAGCTTACCATGTAGCTTTCCTGGCAGCCTACATTCTTTCTCAATGGGGATTAGCCTTAGTTGAACTTCTATCTCTCAGGGACCTGAGACTTATTTTTAAGGACCTATTTGCCCCAAGTACATCTTCTTTCATGTGTCCCTATGCCTGTGATTTCTCCACCCTTTGAGCTCTTGATCTTTATTCCTTAAGGCCACTCCTTGGCACCTAAACATAGGACTGATTGTCTCAAAGATTCATTTTAGAATAAGATTTGGGCTAAAAACAGATAGTTTGGGGAAACTTAATGAGGATACAAATACATGGTGTGTCTAAGGTTACCTGAAATATTTTGTCATGGGGTAGGAACATTTGATGGGAGATTCTGCTCCCTGGATGGAAACTTCACAGCATTCCATAGTCATTTGGGGGAGGGGGTTGTAAAGAACACACAAAGCACCAGTCTCCAAGGCCTTTAAATCTCTTATAGGTCTGAGAGTCCAGTTTTGGATGAAGGGCAGAAATAGGGCATTCCACTCCCTATACCAGGGAAGTGGGTGGTGGTAAGGCCCAATGTTGTAGTTAAGAATTAGAGCAGCACAGAGCTTGAGCTAACTAGAGGACAAAGATGAGCATCTCAAGTATCTGTTAGCCAGTGCTCATCTCAGAATACAGGAACAGCCATAGGCTAACTGGGAGGTATTCAGTGAGGCTTCTATTACTTGCTGTCATCATTTAAACTCCTAAATACCCAAATCTAAAGAACTTATTCTTGCGTAGAAGAGTCTGATGCCCTAAATCTGGGAGCCTGGTATGTAATAGGGGCAGTGAAGGGAGGAGCTGGCAAAGTATTGCTAGGGTGGTAAACGGCACATTGCTTATAGTCACAGGGCCATGTGGTCCAGGCATAGCGAACATCAACCACGGTGCCTCGGCAAGCACTGATACCCAAGATCAGGGTCTTGGTAGAAAAGCTGTTCACAGAAACGGGTAGCCATTTGCACAGACGGTCACTGCAACAGGAGATCTAATAAGAGAAAAACAGAATGGTCAGGCAAGTTAGAAGGGTGTTCCAAAAAAACTGGTAACTGCTTTTTCAGGCATACTAGAAAGGAAGGAAAATAAGGCCACTCTGAGCCAAAGACCAGTTTCCTACAGTATTTAGAACCTGGACCAGATTACAGAGCCACACATTAATAGTAAATGTTCATGTAGGCTAAAGGCATAGCTTGGTGGAAGAGCATATACCTAGCATGTTCAAGGCCCTGGGTTTGATCCTAGCACCCAAAAGAAATTTTAATGTTCAAGTGATTAAATAACTAAAATCAATTAAAAGCTAGTAACTTTCCAGGGAGACAAGAACAGTCAAGCATTCAGAGACTGAACCCCCTGAACATTCTCTAGTTGATCCTTCCCTCCAGATGACAAAGCCAGCACCAATATGTGAGCTACCAACCCAGCTGTGGCTCTCTGGGCTCCCAGAGGAGGTATGAAGTAAGGACAGGACACAAGCAACCTTGGCTGCTGAACTTTGGGCATTAGAAAGCAGTCCAGAGAAGGCAAATTATCAGACCCTGAAGGTTAAATTCTACCCTAACCCTAACCATGGTTCCAGGGCCGGATGAAAGGCAGACCACCAGCGGACAATGGAGAGAGTGCAGATCTCTCCACAGTCTCTAAATTCACCTCAAACCCATGTGGAAAGAAACAGAGGGTAGACACTGACCAGGTGTCTGAGGTGTGTGGACTCCTGGGAGCTGCAGCTCTAAACTCCTGCATAAAGGGTACCTGACACTGTTATTATCTCCTACAGTATCCTTTCTTCACACAGCAGCTCCCAGCCTGGTATCCTCAGGCTGCCCAAAGTGAGCCATCTAGGAATGTCTCTTCTCTCAACCATAAGCGATTCTAATTCATCTCTTTAATCAGTGGCCCCAATTCTACAGACGTGATCCCTGCTGGATAGTGGGAGAAAGTAGACTGTCTACATTCATTCATACTAAGCTGGAAATCACCAAGCTTAAGATTTTCAAGGGAAACACTAAACTCTAAGAATTTCAGATTTTAGAAGTGTGCAGCAAAAAAGACATCTAAGGTTTAGAGGATTATTTTAGAGCAATGATCATTTAACAGATAAAGTACAAATAAGGCCACTCTCTGAGCCAAGGTGATTGCCCTGAGAAAGGAAATAGGAAAGAAATATGGTTTATTAGGGGCTAATTTTCCCTTCCCTGGTTGCTCTATCAAACTTGTGTCCACACTAATGGGTCAGTAGTTGTACATTTGTCCCTCTGAGATAAGCTCAGCCCCAGCCAACCAGCAGCTGTTTCATCATCACACTGCATTGATGGAAAAGGGTCTCAGTGGGGTAAGATTCCCAGCTACCTCACTTCCCCCACACCTCCACCCCCACTATTCTCACCTCAAATGACTTGTTGTCTTGCCTATGCACCTGGATTTTCTGATCATAAGTGAGGCTGAGCAGCCTACTGTGAGCCAACAGTTCTATCTTCTTAGGTAGTGGTCCTTGAAAGGCCAAATTTTTCTCACCATAAGCCAGAGCTCGAGCCCCCAGGTGCAGTCGATAGGCCACAGTCTGTTTATCTCGAGGGTGGATGCTGCAGCATAAAAAACACATGGAGGGTGATGGGATTGAGCTTCACAATAACCACATGTTATAAGGCAGAGAGAGTATTCTAGTCACTCAAGTAGGGACAGAACAAAGAATTCTTCAAAGGCGCATTGATTTTTATCTTATGTGCATGTATGTTTTGTCTGCATGTATGTCTGTGCATCACAAGCACACACGGTGCCCATGGAGGCCAGAAGAAAGTGTCACATCTTCTAGAACTGGAGGTACAGATAATTGTGAGCCACCATGTGGGTTCTGGGGACCAAACTGGGGTCCCCTGGAAGAATGACAAGTGTTCGTAACCACTGAGGCATCTCTCTGGTCCCTAAAAACTTTTGGTTTTATTTTTTTTAAAGGAGGAGGAGGGCCAGGAGTTGATGGCGCACGCCTTTAATCCCAGCACTTGGGAGGCAGAGGCAGGCAGATCTCAGTGAGTTTGAGGCCAGCCTAGTCTGCAGAGGGAGTTCCAGGACAGGCTACAGAGAAACCCTGTCTCAAAAAAGCAAAACGAAAAAACAATAAAAAAGGAAGAAGGGGAGGAAAGAATTTCTGGGTGTGGTGGCACATGCCTGGATAGCAGCACTTATGAGGCAGAGGCAGAAAGATCACAAGTTCAAGGCCAGTCTAGTCAACACAGTGAGATCCTGTCTAAAATGCTAAAGAAAAAAGGAACAAGAAGGAAAAAGGAAGAGGCAAAGAAAGAAGAGAAAAGAAGAGAAGAGGAAAGAATAAAGTTGGCTGACATCAATAATCAGTGACTAGCGACCTTAAGAACAACAGTTAGTGACAAAGAGAGATGAAGCTTTGACCTTCAGTAGATTTAGAACCTTACAGCAACAGATGGCAAGCAGGAAAAGGAGAGAGAAGAGTGGAGTGTAAGGGAATGGGTTGGACTGTTGGTTGTAGCTTAGGTACACTATGTATCAGCCTTCTATGCTGGGATGTGCTACAAAATCCCCAGCCTAGGACAGCTGACATTATTGCCTGCCACTGAAAGCCATCCTTCATCTGATCAGATGTTCATCATTTGGGTCTGTCTGCCTTTTCTTTGCTCATTCAATAGATATTATCAACTTCCTTCTATAATCGAAAGGTCATGTATCAGACTCCATTTCATATTTGAAATCCTATCTCCTACAGCTAGTATATAATAACTCATTGGTGCTGACAACAAAAATTCCACCCTTCCCTTTCATGGCCAACTCTCACTAAAGGTGATTATATCCATGATTTAGTTTAGTGATCCAATATAAGCAAAAATGACTTGTGTAGTACTGTTTATGTTGTCTTGAGACAAGCCAGAGTCATTTTAGAAGCAGGAACCTCAAGTAAGAAAATGTTCCCACCAGATTGGCCTGTGGGAAAATGGTAGTGCACTTTCTTGATTGATAATTGATGTGGGAGGGTTCAACCCATTGTGAGCAGTGCCACCCTGGGCTGGTGGCTCTGGGTTCTGTAAGAAAGCAGGCTGAGCAAGCCACAGGGAGCAAGTCAATAAGCAGCACTCCTCCATGACCTCTGCATCAGCTCCTGCCTCCAGGTTCCTGCCATGCTTCAGTTCCTATCCTATCTCCCTTTGAGGATGGACTGTGATGTAGAACTGTATGCCGAAATAAATCATTTCCTTTCTAAGTAGGTCATGGTGTTTTTTGTTTGTTTGTTTTTTAACAGCAATAGAAACTTTCACTAATGTACATGGTTTCCAGATGACAGCACTTATTTCCCAATGTAAGACTTAAAAGTAATGATGGATAAGCACTCTGCTACTAAGCTACATCCCAGTTCTTTGGAGACTTTTGCTCTGTATTGCTCAAAAACTGACCTGCTTTGATTTCGTGTGAGCATGGCATACATTTTTGTTGTATCAGGATTTCTGTATCTGGGGAGGGTACTTAGGTTTGGATTATTGTAGCACATCCCTGGATAGATGATTGATACATACTATGCCTAAGCTCCAATCCATCCATAGTCCAATCCATCCCATTACAAGTAAACATCACAGTGAAAGACAACAGGCAGGAACATTCACTGGTAAAGCAAAGTTGAAGAGACAAGCATACCTGCCAAAAGGTGAGTTCAGGTCACAAAGATCCATAGCAACAGCCATGAAAGTATTGGGCATCTTCAAGTTGGGGACAAAGCCAAAGTCTGCTGTCTGATGCCAGCGGATCTCAGGAAATCTATAATCTGATGTGTTCGTCTCTGCATATGAAGACAGCTAGAAAAAGAAAGATACTGTCATTTTTGCTGCACTGGATCCCTGGATGCTTCTCTCTGATCCTTTTCACTGGATGCTTCTCAACGATGATGCTTCTCACTGACACTGCTCACTGGATACTTCTCACTGACAGACACTGCTCACTGGATGCTTCTTACTGATGCTTTACTTCTGCTCCACTGTTTGGTCCAAACATTTTTACTCAGGCATTTTCTGAACAACTCATCCTGTTCAGGCAGGGTCTTTGCAAAGATAGACAACATAGTCTCCAACAGCCACATGACCTTTTTTTACAATGTGTTATGTGTCTTATTCTTCCTCCCATTCAATCCAGGCTCACCCTATGGTTTGCTGATCAACAGAATGTGGCCGAGCTTTTAGGCAGCTTCTGAGTCTTTGCCCAGAGCTCTTTGCTTGTGGCTTTGTGTTCTTAAAACCATGCACTGGCCATGAGAGAAAAAAAAGGTCCAGCTACTCTGCTGGATAAATTGGAAATAGAGGAGGCTTTGGACAAATTATGGAGACAGCTAGAAATAGCTGAGGTGCCAGCCGTGTGAATTCTGGATCCTGCAGTCAAATTATGGCCATACAAGCAACACCCAGGACAAAGATGAACCATCCCAACATAGCTCAGCCTAGCCAGCCTGTAGAATATAAATAGTCACAATAATGTTTTAAGCTACTGAGCTAGGGTAATTTGTTACAAAGCCACATGGAACTGACAGGTGAGTATGCTGTATAGGGCTCACAGAAGCAAAAGAGAATTCACCCTGTATATGGCAAATTGCAAAAAGACCCCAAGTCTTCACTCCTTCTCATACCCACACCTCTTGAATGTGACTTTGCAGTTCCTCCTATTACAAGAAACAGTCAACCCGTTGATTCTGGGTTCAGTCACCAGGCTTGCTTTGGTCTTTTGGGGAGCTGAAATTAATGTGTGCCTAACTTAGGTTTCAGGAGGCCTTGCCTGGTTCTTCTAGGGTTTCTGTACTTCTGGTACCACCTAGAGGAATGTGGCTGGGCTAGCCTACTGCTCTCCAGACTGGGATGAGAGTTGTGGACAGAGCTGTCCATCTAACAGCTCTGCTTCAACTGGAGCTGAGCCCTGGCTAAGCCACAGAGCTCTGTAGGGCCAGAGGGGCCTAGACAAGATCATCCAACCCCAAGTTCCTGGGATATGTGAACTATAACATAAAGGTTATTCTGAGTCATGGGATTTGGAAATGGTTTGTGACAAAGCAGTAGCTACCTAGTACTTTATAGCTTTGCTAGAAGGACAGATCAGAGCATAACTACATAAAGGTTAACATGCAGCCACATAAAATAGCATGAATTGAAAGCCAAATTGGTGGTACAGCAATTTAAGTGTACATTTCAAACAGACAGCAATTACTATTGTACAAAGACATAGCCTCATAATATATTTAGGAGTTTAAAAACAACAGAAAGGCAAAGAACATATGAGAAGCCCTCCAAGGAGCCCTGCTTAGATGAAGAAGAATTGCTTCTTGAAGAATTGCTGTTTGGGGAGAGGGTTGTAAAGTTGTAAAGACAGCATGGTGACTTCTGACAAACTGACAGCCCATCAAGTATTATGGTATTTGCTGCCTACCTTGGAACTTGAATACCCACAAAAGTGCACATATTCAAGAACTGGTCCCCACTGAGTACCATTAAAGAGGTGCAAGTATCCTTAAGAGATGGGGGCCTAGTGGAAGGAAGACAGGTCACTGGGAAGTGATTTCAAAGTGGATATTAAAATGCCAGTCTCTTTCCCCAACCGCTTCCTCCAGGTACCACAACGTGAACAGGCTCCTATGACACATGATCCCACAACAGTGACAACAAGGCCAACTAGACAGTCTGGAGTCTCTGAGCAAAACCAGCCTTTCTTCCTTTTAAGTTGAGGTGTCCCAGGTACTCATTATGATGACACAAAGCTTAATATTTCTAGACATACATACACACACACACACACACACACACACACACACACACACACACACGGAAGCCAGACCTATCTAGAGTAGTAATAATGGGAATGGGATGCTCAGAAATGAAACAAACCAACAGGCAACCAACTGGACACAGGGTCCAAGAGGAAGCATTAAAGGCTAGGTTAGAATCAGGAACATTTGGATTATCTGCTTGGGACCTAGAGCAACTCACCAAAGACAACTAGAATGTGTGGAAAGTACTGTTCCAGAAAGAGCTGGCATAGTGTCAGTCAGTCTGTACATTCATTCTCTGAATGAGTGTTTTTCTTGATTCAGGCAGCAACCTCACCAAGAAGATGGAGTAGGGAACAAAACACAAAGTGGTAATTTTTTTTACAAGATTATATTCCAAAGGAGAGACATAACCAATAAACAAAAAAAAGATAAATGTGATAACTTACTTTATCACTAATAAAATAATAAGTATACTGGAATATAAATATATATATATATATATATATATTGAAAAGAATGAGTTCTGAGGCTGAACAAACACAATGGCATAAGACAGCAAGCTATG